TATATATATATATATATATATATATGATACATACACACACACACACACACACACACACACACACACACACACACATAATTTATAAGTAATTGGATTGCCTGCCTCAAACCTCTACTGCTTAAGAGGTTCTCTTTAAGTTCACATTTAATCATATTCCTCTCCCACTGAATAAACTCCAGTGGCTTCCTACTACCTTTACAATAAAACATAACCTCCTCTGTTGTTTAGGCAGACATCAAATAAAACAAAGGATCTAGAATCATGAGGAGTTTGTATCTCACCCCAAACACTTACTAGCTGTGTGACTCAGGACTAGACAGTTTCCTCATCTGCAAAATGAGGATAATGACAGCACCTACCTGTAGGGTTGTTGTGAGATGATATTCCTCTCCAGGCTGCATTCTGGATCTCCTCTACCATGCCCCAGCTCTTCATCTTGAAGCCTCACCACAACTTGGGAATTCACACATTGGAAGTACTCTCTCCCTCTGATTGGATGGCTCCTCCCAAAACCTCCTTTTAAAGTGGATGGCCAGGCCCACCATGTCCCATCCCTCCCCAGGCTGCATACAAGACTGACTTTACTATGCCCCTAGGCCAGATACCTTTTCTTTCTCTAAGCTCCCTATCCTCTCTCCTTTCCTCTCTCCCTCCCTCCACACTACTGTTTTATAGCTTTCCTTTTGCATGGTCTTCCCCATTTAGAACGTAAGCTCCTTGAGAGGAAGGACTGTTTCTCTACTTGTATTTGTATGACCAGTGGGTGCCTGGAACATTTTAAAAAGTTAATTAAATGCTTGCTGGCTGATTGGCTAATAATATATGTAAACACACTTTGCAAACTTTAAAGGCCTATAAAATTGCTAGCTTTAACATTGTTATTGTTCTCAAACAGTATCTTCTCTTCCTGATTTGAAAGGTAAAATAATACATAAAGAAATTCCAGGAGCATCTAGATGGCACAGTGGATAGAGCACTGGTTCTGGAGTCAGGAGGACCTGAGTTCAAATCTGGCTTCAGACACTTGACACTAGCTGTGTGACCCTAGGCAAGTCACTTAAACCCAATTGCCTCACTCCCCCCCCAAAAAAATTGCAGGTTTGCACTCATTGTAACATGGAAATCTTAAACTGAGTAATTCTACACATGTAGACTTCTTTTATACTTACCTTGTTGGGGAAGTTGTAACTCTAATCACTTCTGTCACCTACTTGCTAAACTTAATGAATACATAAATTCCTGTGGTTAATTCTATTACTCAATCTCATTCCATGCCTTATTCCATGGTTTCTCTATACCTGGGATATTTTTAAGCCCACATTTTAAGATCTTCCCAAATTCTTACCAAGCCTTTATTCAACTTAGTCCCAAAAATCCACTTTCTTCCCTGAAGCTTTTCTGATCAAGGGCGACAATGACTTAAAACAAAAATTCACATCTTTGAATTCAAATAGACTTGTGCTTAGAAGCAGCCTTAAAGCTTATGAATGTCCATACCTGCAACTATGCTAAAAGAGAGACATCCAATAAAATGGCTACGTACCAACAATCATAAAACAGGCCATGTACTAGCTGTGTGACCCTGGGCAAGTCACTTAAAGCACTCTGTTTGCCTCATGTAGACCCCTCTCCAAATCATTTTAAACCCCACCACCTGAGAAAGGCCTAAAACTTGGACTGGCCAACCAGGAGAGACATTTTAGCCCACTCTGGGCTTAATCTACCATAATGCTTTGCATGCTCTGCTCTCTGAAGGAACTAAAAATTCCTCTTCCTGTGTCAGAAACTATAAGACCAGATGAAGCTGACCAACATTCTTCCTGTCTGTGATCATTAAGGATGTGATGCCCAGACACTGTCTTGGATAGTGGGACTTTTCTTATCTCAGTATCCTATGGCCATATGTTATGTAGGGGACATATCCTGGGACTATAATTTCAATCGACACTTTGTTACTTCTCTTGTCTTATTGTATTTACAACCCATTCAACTAAGAAATTTCCTTTCTAATGCTAAATGTTAAAAACATATGGAGGCTATATTTTTTTGAGTGACACAGACATCCTGAGTCAGGATTGCTCTAAGAATACAAATTGTCTATTTCAAATTATTTAAGTCAGTCAGAGTTAAAGCTCTGGCTCCATGTACATGTCGCTAACTTAAGGGAATAAACAACATGAATTTACTTATCACCTAGCTTGTTGCCTCTTTAACCAACTTTCAGGTTGACACTCAGTTTCCTCAACTATAAGACAGGGATCATAAAGCAGTACCAACTCCCAAACTAATTCAAAACTGGTTGCTTTCCAGCTCCGCTAAGGAATTATCCACAGTCCTGCTTCTGAAGACGACACTGCTAGGGATACATCTGCAGAGGAATTCTACTTATGTAGCGTCTGGTGACTAAATCTCTCTCCTTTCATCTGCACTGTATTGTTTCTTTTGAAGCCACTCTCCTTTGTACCCTCTGCCAGTTAGATATCTCTAACTTCCTTCAATACTCAGCTCAAAGACACCTGAGGTCCTCTCCTCTCCCTCCCCTCCAAAATTTCCCTTATTTACTTTGAATCTATTTATATGTATACATGCGTTTCCTCTGACAAGACTGTAAGCCTTTCTGGGGCAAGAACTTTCTTTTTTGTCTTTCTATCCCAGCATCAATGCAAAATACCCGACATCTATTCTGATAATAAATGACTGATTGATGGTTCCCATCTTTCTCTTCTTTCCCGTTCTTGGGACTCTTTCTGTCCCACAGTTGGTTATTTCCTAACTTATTATGGTGCTATATAGTCAATCATTACCAAATGTAAAAGCACTCCTCTCATACCATTAACACCCTAACCTGGTTGATTACCAGTAGCACTTGCAAATTCTCTAAGCACAGCTTTTAGATGCAAGACATCTAAGATAGGGCAAAAGGAACAGATAACATTAAGCCCCGCACAAGAATTAATTTGGCAAGGTTCCAGACAAGTGATACCTAAACACGTCATCTTTCTCCACAAAATTATGTGTGTCTTCATCCGTGATCCTTCTATGGTCAGAGGCAGGTAAGTCACATGGTAGATAGAGAACTGGGCATGGAGTCAGGAAGACCCAAGTTTGATACAGCCCCAGACACTTACTAATTGTGTGACTCTGGGCAAGTCATTTAGCCTCTGTTTGCCTCAGTTTCCTCAACTATAAAACAGTACCAACTTCTATCAGGGTTGTTGTGAGAATCAAATGAGGTAACATAGTGTCTGGCATGTAGAGGTTGTTATATAAATGTTGCTTCCCTCCCCCCACTCCTGTTTCTCCAAGTGATAAATTATTTAGGGAATAGCTTCTCTCTTGTTCTATTTTACACCTTTTCTTCTCCCTTCATCCCAGCTGGGCTTTTTTTTCTGCTGTCAGCTCTCAAGTTTGGGCTCTTCAGCCCCTCCAATCTCTTTCCTTGTTTTCTTTTTCATATGGATTTTTCTTTTTCATGGCTTATAAATCATTCAAGCTTTTTTTTCCACACAGAAATACCTATGCCCTATAAACAGTTAACCAGCAACACGAATTATAGCTGCAGCCTATAATGGCTTTCAAGGATAAGAGGGACAGATAATTTTCCCAGAAAGCACATGAGAGGCATGAAATCCCAGTAATGTTGGTAACTGGCAAAACGCAAAGGCTTTTCTCAACATCACATCAGATGTTAAGAAAATGT